TTGGAAGTTAGTGTAAATGGAGATGATTCCATTTGACTTTTGGGGACTTTGAGGGGGACAACAGATGTCAGGATTCCCAGCTGGGGACATTAACGACCTCTGGAGAGATTGGGAAAGGCCAATCCATGACCTGCATCTATTGTTAAAGAAAACTTTCTAAAGGTTAAATATATTTTTAAAAAGTTTTAAACTTTATAGATTCTCATAGATAGGTGTAGAGTATATAATTAATTTGATCCAAATTAGTATAATGCCTTAGTTACCAGCTTTTTACTTATCTGTTTTAGTGGCATTAACTTTTTAATGAAATTAATTTATTTAGAAAGAGAAGGTTTCCTTTAACTGTCTAGATTTTCCAACATTCTCCCCCAAATACTCATGAGCATTATTTACTCATTAAAACAGGACCTACATGTCGTCTGCCGTGAGCCTTCCAATATCCCAAGATCATGGGATCTCTGATTTGTGAGGTGCAATGGAGAACTTTGTCACATGAAAAGAACCAGAGCAGGGTCCAAAGATAACAGTGCTATGTAGACTCGCTGTGGCCAGTGAAGATTTTGTTTTACAAGATGTGTCCGTGTTTGGTCAGTACAGCCAACACAAAAGGTGAATGAAAGAACATTACTTTAAAGGCATTAAAGAGCATGCCAAAGGAAAGCATTTTCAGCGCAGACATTCCTAACGGGGTAGAAGTACGGACTCAGCATCGAGCCAGCCAAGCTTAGCTTTGTTCCCTTCTATGGACGCCAGAACATAGGCAATGAAAAGAGCTGCTCTAGCAAAAACACTGCCTCTGCTGAAATCTTCATTCCCTTCCTCTTCTTTTCCACCTTGCTTCTCTCTTTTCTTTCTTTCCCTTTATCCTTCCTTTAAAACTTTTTGGTTTAACCTGAAGTTCTCAGAAGATATTTGTAAAAGTTACCACAGCCACATTTCATGGCTTTCCTAGTAAAAAGCACCTGACAGTGTTCCAAGAAAAACACATTTTCCTATTCCTTTACTAGGAATAAGTGAAAGGTAGGCAGGACGGAGGAAGGAAAAAAGGGAGGGAAAGACGAAGGACAAGCAAAACAAATCAGATCTCCTGCATATTTAAACTTTACCTATATATCATCTACCATTTATGTACTTACATTCCACTTATAAACCATGTGGACATAGACCTTCTTTTTAACATTTGTACAAATATCAGCCTGAATCATTGTCAAATAAGCACAAGCGACCATTTATAATTTGGAGTTGGAAGATATTTAGGATTAAAATACTGTATAGAAGAAATGACAAATATCTTAACAGATTGAATAGCGACATTTATTAAGGACATAAACAAGATGAGGCGGATCTTTAAGAAACATCTAGAATGAATTGGAACCCAAGATTGCAATGAAAATACACATTTCAGTTACAGTTGATAGTGGCTCTAATGACCCCGTAAGTTGCCTCTTACAATATGATTATCTTTCCATCTTCCCATAGAACAAATGAAGATGTGATATCTTATCTATGTATAGCTATAAATTTCAGACATAAACTCTAACATGGAAATTTTAGTCTCCCTGATTGTTCTCATAGAATTCAAAGGAAAGTCAAAGACAGGTGCTGTACTGTGTAAAGGCAATATTGCATTGCCTGCTGCCTCAGATGCCACCTTTTCTCAACTGAGAATTTTCAAGGAATGACGTAAAACCTTAGGTAAAATTTTACAACTGTACAACTCAAAGTCCTGATTAAATACAAAGATCACTGCCAAAGAGATGAGTCCTTAGAGCGAGGAGTCATATTCTAAGTATCTTTAGAGCATGCAGAGAAAATCCCCACATGTTCTTCCCATTCTTAGCTCCTTGTTTGAGTTCCTTACCTCCGGGAGAGATGTAGACACAGTTGAGCTGAGCTTCATGCACCAAGGTGCCCTTGCACTTTATCTCTGTGTCGGGAGACAGGTGACTGCACAGCGGCTGGTATGCAGGCGTGGTGGGCTGGCCAAAGGCTCGAAGCATGGTGTATTTCCCAATGTGTACTAATAAATTGACTTTAAAACTAAAAAAAAAATTTCCTAGTATCTTTTCTTATAATTTTTAAAATTCAGAAGCTACTCCTATAATAACAATTTAGAGCCACAGAAGTTCACACAGCTCTATCCCTTGGCTTCCAATTTAACCTGTGGTAATTACTTTAAGTTTTAGAATTCTAAAAACTCTTTTTAGCCTTGTCTTTTTCTGCCTTCCTTGCTGTGCTCACTGCCTATGGAGAGACAGGCCTGTCACTCAATGGCTTTACAGGAAGCCTTGGATTGAAATGTGAAGGAAATGGTTTCTGTCACCCTGTCAGTTCATCACCTCACAAAGGCATGACGGGCTCTGGTCTTTTTATATCACCACAAGTTGCTCAGCTGGACCCTCTTGTGTGGAACTATGACTGGTTTAAGTGTGACTGGTTTGGCCAGGAGTTGGTGGACCTTGGGCCTAAGAGGCAGAAAACTTCAGTTGGAGAATGTACACTTTAATGGAATCCACAGCCCCTTTCCCAGTGGAATGCAGCTCGAGTTGCAAAACTATTTTAGGGAAGAAAACAGTTAAGCACAGGTCACATTCTCTCTTGGTTCTCTTTTTAGTAGCCAAGGTTATTTCAGTAGCCCTCACTATTTCAACTCTACATTCAACCTAAATATTAACCAAAATGAAAGGATTTATTTCAGAATGATCCTATTTTAATGTTAAAACCATATTACTGTAGAGATAAATGGTTGGGTCTTAAAGAAAGCTCCATGATATTTTCAATAATTACTACAAGGCTTGTCTTTCTTTCAATCTGCTTTGACATTTGAGAGAATTTTTTCTAGCATTTTCCCTCAAGTCTGCGTTTCAGTTTTCTCATAGTAATGACAATGTCAAACTGCTTGTCTGTTTACATCAACAGTTTCCTTGGCATCCTACCCTTATGAAAATCTAGATTCTTATGTCAGATGCCACAAATGTGTAACATTGAGAAAAATGCGCCCAAATGTTTCTGTTACTGCAGTCTGCTGATGAGAGACACCAGTGCCGGGTTTTCCTCTGCACTGAGCCCCAGGTTTCTTCTCCTTTAACAGTTTTGGAAAACGGTCTCCAGGGAAAGAAAGTTTTCACTGTAGCCAGAAAAACAGAACAGGCTTCTAGTATTGTAACTAAATTAAAGTCACCAAAACACACAGATGTATTCAGATTTATTAAGTGGTTGGGTGTCTGTAATTCAGTCAGGTTTTTCTTATAAGAACAGGAGAGCAGGACAGTTGACATGCAGGACCTGGAGAAGGGAATCTGGGCTGAGTGCTCGTGCACCCACCGGAAGCAACCGGAATTGAAGTTTTGCAATACACATTCAAGGGTCTTGGGATGAAGCATTTTCATTTTGATCTAAAGCTCTCATGGAGTATATTGAAGTCATAACGCAGATCTTATTTTTCTTAAAAGATCGTCAGTGAACCAAGGAAGAATTTGTGTATGTATTTCTTTTTTTTTGGCGGAACCAGGGATTGAACTCAGGCCCTTGCGCTTGCCAGGGAAGCGCTTATTCTACTGAGCCATCTCCCCGGCCCTTGTATATGTATTTCTATGTAAGAAGATAACATGGTCTGAGAAAAAGCTGGGTTCCTTTCTCCAACCTTTTTCCCTTTCACATGTAGACAAATAAGATAAAGATATATTTATAATTACAAAAGCAGCTCAAAATCTCATTGCCAACTTTTGGCAAGTTAATAATTGAGATTCATTCGGTCCCTCTGTGAGACAGCTCCTTAAAATAGCACTAAAGACATTTCTCGTATCTTTCAACATTCAAATGGTCATTGTCAAAAAACAGAACTTTAATTTTTTTTTTTTTTTTTTTTGTGGAACCGGGGATTGAACTCAGGCCCTTGTGCTTGCCAGGCAAGCACTTAGTCTACTGAGCTATCTCCCCAGCCCCTTAAAATTTTTTTTTAAAATTTAAAAAAACCAACAACAACTTTCCTGCCTAGCCATTGGCCAGGTAAAAGAGGAAAAGCCTTGGTTAGACTATCACAGCTATCTTAATGAAAAGATAACATTAATGTAATCAAATGCTTTAAATTTTATGTTTCCCTTTTTAAAGACTTGTGGGTTTTCATTGCTGTGTCATAATATTGCTGCTGTTTTCACTGAAGACCTTTAAAATACATATGTAGTTAATGTATCATTTACATGATGAACAGCACCAGATCCTGCGCTAGATATTTATAAATGCATTTTGGAACTATTTCAGCCTTTGCTACAAAGATGTAAAGATAGGCACACACAAAATTTAATAGTCAATTTCCTTGAAAAACTATTAAGTGAATCAATAGCAGCTATGTTATTCCACATTTTCTTTCATTTCTTAGTGGTTAAATTATGGTTATATTTAAAGTTTCAAAAAGTTGTAAATTTGTAGACATTTTGAAGTCAGATTATTAAAATTTTCTTTTTTACTACCCTATCTTACCACACAGCTCACAGAGCTAGTTTTTCAGTTAACATATTCCTGGGAGGAAGAGAAGGGAGGGAGGTTTCTAGGCATAATTTGAGCATCAGGTTTCTGAATATTTAAAAATAAAGATGAAATGTGTTTATGAAATGTGCAAACGGAGTATAGAAACAATGACATCTCAAAACCAGAAGTTTAGAAATCCTGACTTCATTTCCAATTTGTATTCACTTGTTTAAGACGTATTTACCAAATTTCTGTTGTATTAAAGAGTTGTATTAGTAAAGAAAACACATTGTATTGTTGTGTGTGTTTGTGTGTGTGTGCGTACAAAACCACTGCAGATTTTTCTGTGGACTAAAAAGAATTCCACTGCTACATTCTTAAGCTAATTCCAAAGACTTTTTAAATTGATTTAATAATTATTGAATAAATTGATATGTAAATTACCATGTATTTCACTTTAAGAAAGAAAGGGACTCTCTTCCTAGGTTGTGGTTCTGAGGTTTCTCATACTTTGTCCAATGTGTTTTTTGCAGTGTCCATTTATGGAATCTGGTTTTATGATAAGGAAGAATGCCAAAGAATAGCAGAGCTTATGAAAAAGTAAGTGCCAAAAGGCTAAATATTTTTCAAAACCTGATGCTTTTGTTTATATTTCTAAGAGTAGGCAAAAGAACTATAATTTTAGAAGGATATATGTCTTATAGTAGTTATTTTCACAGCAGTCAGGAAAACATTTCATACTACCTAATACGCAGAAAGCAGCATAAGAAACAGCTTGCGACATTTTTACTGGATTTCTCGTCTTTGACTCAACACATTTTGTTCTGACTATGGAAGATATATGTAAGAAGAGCTTTCCCAGACAGCAGTTTTCCTTAATATTTTCCTCATTTATGAATCAGTAATTTTTCTTTTGAAAAGCTATCAGTGTGCCTACTAGTGAAAAGAAAACTCAGAGCCATCCTAAAAAGATGTGCCAGATTCCTAAGATCCGTCATTTCCTTCTTGCCCTTTAACTGCATATCCTTGTGTGTAGAACTCAGAATTTCATATCATGTGTCAAACACTGAGTACTTAGGATATTCTTCAATTTTCCATCTCTGGAAATTTCTGAGTTCATACTACTTTAATAATTTGTCTTTCTGTCTCCCCTTCCCCCCAACTAATTTCTTTTAATCTCATCATACCTTGTGATTTATTCCATTCTGCATTCTGGGAAAGTTTTGCATTCCTCTGACTGTGTCACAGTCTGACTTCTCTGACTCCATTGAAAGGAAAGCCCAGGAGGCCTGGGATATAGCTCAGTGGTACAGCAGCTGTCTGGCAAGCACAAGGTCCTGAGTTCCATTCCTAGCACCAACAAAAAGAAAATAGAAAGGAAGGCCCAAAAGAGCTTGCTTTCTGCTAACTCCCTGATCAGCTCTTGGGCCCCAGGGCACTCACTGTGAAGTGGTTATTTCCATGCCATTTATGGAGATAGGTACAAGCCTCATGTACCCAGGTTGGGTCTCAGCCTGGGCCTGGACTCAGCCAAGCATAGGAGACCTGATGCCCCAGGTCTGCCTGCAAAAGAACCAGTTTCCACTTTTAAACCCCAAGGCGTGAAATGACTAAAAAGTGACCCCAAGGAAATGAAAATGGGGAGGACCTTTTTATATAAATAAAGTGGATTCCTGAAACTCTTGCTTGTAAGAGCTAATTTTAGGTAACTAGCTCAAGTTACAAGTGGTGATTAAGTGTGTTCAAACTGGTATTTACTACCATCACAGCTAGCTTCTAGAGCATTCATGTTATTGTAAATGTGCAGTGGATAATAATAGCAGGATTTCATATAGATTAAAAAATGCCCTGTAGCTCAGCCAAGAGGCCATGGTAGAACTGTCAGCATTCTGCTCTAATTGCTTAACAGCTCTGGCAGGAAATTGATTATTTACCAGTAATAAGCAGCTGATGTGTGAGATTCGTACCCCTTCCCCAGTTAGAATTAAGTATCTCAAATTCTCATATCTATTTTTTATCATAAACTTTATGGTTTAATAAAAAAAATTGAGCTGAAAGGCAAAGCACGTAGAGGGGAAAAGGTATTTTTCTCAGCATTCTCTTGCTGCAGGTAGAGCAATTTGGCCTCCTGTGATGTTCTCAGAGCAAGGAAAGATGTGCCTCATTTCCTCGCTTCTCAATAGCTGTTTAGAAATTAGTGTATTTTTTCAATGCTCCTCTTCTCAGCAGTAGGATAGAATTGACATTGGGTTTCCAAATGGAGATACAAGTTGTGTCCGTTTTACTTTAATTGCAGGCCACTAGATGGGAAGGAAAGAATTCTCTATTGGCCGCGCAGTTTGGTTCATGTTGGAGAACTAAATGGGGCTTCCGCAGCAGTCACTGAGAGCGTTCTCTCCAGTGCTCTATTAGGAAGTTGGCAAACTTTCTTGGGGGACCAGATGGTGAATACTTTAGCCTTGCAGGCTGCGTATCTCCATCGAGGCTACTCAGCTGGGCCGTGGTAATGTGAAAGCAGTCGTGGGCCATCCGCACTGGCTGGGGCCTGTAGATTAGTCTCATGACCCTTCCTCTACGTTCCTGTGTAGCTAGTTAAAGCAACACCTTGGCTCTCGCCTTTTGTCTTTAAATTCCTGAGTGATCTTATTTTTAATACAGTTGTAGCAGGATGAAAACAACTAGGTAAGAACTGGGAAGATCTTAAAAGCCCTTTTTGTTAAATTGGCTTTTCTTGTATGAATCTGCCCTCTGTTTTTCAGCCTGACTCAGTATGAACAGTTGAAAGCCCATCAGGGCATTGGAGCAGGAATCTCCCCAGTGATCCTCCACTCGGGAGAGGGCAGAGAAGTGGATATCTTACAAATGCTCACCAAGGCCAAAGATGAATACACAAAGGTGAGTTTTGTGCCCTTCCTTGTGATATAAATTTACATTGCACAGTGGAAATGTTGTTGCAAAAGACTCTAAACAGAACTGTATGAAAAATAAAATTTTTATTTGCCTTTAGTGGGCTAAAGAAGACTGCTTTTAAGTTAAATTAGAACGTGGCCTGAGAAATCAGTAGCTGTCATGGAAACAAATATGAGTTAAATTTACTAGAAGACCCCATTTAAATAAATTCCTTTGTAATAAAATTCACAAAAATGTAGGCAAAACCTGTAGGAGGAAAACTTTAATAACTCCTGAAATGCATAAAAATAGACTTGAGCATATGGAAGTATATGTCCTATTCTTGGATAAAAAGATTCAGCATAAAGCTCTGAGTTATTTTTTTAATCTCTAAATTTGAGGTGATCCCTAAACAAATAGCACTGGTTTCTTTCCTTCCCCTCCTCTTTCTCTTTTTCCTAGTTGAAAGGTTCATGTGGAGAAATACACAAGGAAGACTAGCTAGGAAATCTGACAGGGCTGGGGTGGGGAGGTGAAGGGCAGACAGGAGTTTAGGGGTGGAAAGTGGGGATTGGAACAGGTTGCACCTGATATTAAAAACTGAATTCTATGATTTCAATCCCCGGTTCTGCCAAAAAAAAATTAAATCCTAAATATTTAAAACTGTATTGATTGATAGTGTAGTTATGTATACAACCAGATAAACCAATGGAACCAATAAGATATTATAGAACTAGACCCAAATATATATGAAATTTAAGATATGAAAAATAACCATTTCATCAGCCATTTGAATGAATTTTTAAATACAGGTAAAGTATTGAGGCAACTGGTAGCCATTTCAAAAACTACAAAATTGAGTCTGTATCTCACACTATATGCTAAAATGAATTCCAAATGTATGAGAAATTCAGGCACCAGAAGAAAACTTATTTGGATGACTTTGTAATCTAGGAAAAGGGAAATCTTCCTAACTATGTCTTTAGACTTATATTCTGTAACTGATTTCAACTATAGAAAAAGCAAATGCTCTATAGGGTATAAGCAAGACACAAGCAAAGTGAACGTTATGAAAACAACTGAGAATCCACAGTATTTACATATACAATATAGGAAGTGGGATCATTGCTCGCTCCTAAAAATTGAAAAGTAAAAATTTGAAACTGTAGAAAAATAAGCAAAATAATCAATAAAATTTTGGGGGAAAAAATGGAAAAAAAAAAAAGAAGTAAAGCCATGGTGTTATGCTGTAGGGGACTCAGGTCAATAACTTCTGACATTGCCAGTCAAGCGGAAGACCCAATACTATTATGGGCTACTGGACTATTTTGGAATATTTTGCTGAGTTCACAAACCTAGAATATTTAAATGACAGAACTAAGCAAAAAAAGAGGATACAGATGAATGTCCATTTTGTATCTGTGTATTCAAAGTGGTTAGGATAGATATATAGTTTCATTCTTTTAATGAATAGAGGGATTTATTCTAATGGTGTTGTAAATAGGATATCATGTCCCCATCTTGTACAACAAATAACAACTGGGAAGAATGTATGCAATGTGTTAATTATTGAAACTGTCCTACCAATTTGATTTGAA